ATATCACGTGGCTCAAAACACCAATTTTCTAATCACATGGTTTCTGGTTTTGCGAGCCCTGGTATTTATTGAGTTGTCCTGAATGTTTCCTACCTGTGATATTGAGGGCTCAAGAATAACAAAAGTACTTTTTGGATTTTGGGTCTCCCTCCAGAAACTAGGGGCAAAGGTCAGTCACATTCTTTATTACACAACATGCCCAAACTCATTGAGCTCTGTTCTGACGTCCATCTCTACATTTCCAGGTTCTTTGTCTAATCTGCCATTATCTTGATAGCCAATTTTAGATAAAATTTATAACTCCCATTTCCTTTTCATCCTCCTCCTCTGTTTCCCCAAACACACATCTACTTATTCGCAGCCTTATTATCACATTTGGTTAAACCTATGATCAGTTCTTACATTAATAGGATGATATAAATCTTGTTTCTTTTGCCTCTTTTGAAGGTTTCAAGAGCTCTTGTTTTGGGATTGATTCTTCTTCATGGCATCAGTTCTTTTAGGAATAAGATATGTTTTCCCTCTGCAGATTAATTTGGGATCAAAGTTTTAATAATTATGAAGTTGTTTATGTTTGTTTTTGTTTTTTTCTTTCTGTTACCTGCTATGTTAGTTTGCTAGGGGTGCCATGACAAAGCCCAATAGACTGGTGGCTGAAACAACAGAAATTTATTTTCCCATGATTCTGGAGGCTGAAAGTCTGAGACCAAGGTGTCGGCAGGGTTTTCTCTGAGGCTTTTTCTTCTGAGGCTTTTCCCTGGCTTGTAGATGGGTGTTTCTCCCTGTGTCCTCATATAGTCTTCCTTCTATGTGTGTCTGTGTCCTAATTTCCTCTTAAAAGGACACCAGCCATATTAGATTACATCCTATCTATATGACCTCATTTTACCTTAATCACCTCTTTAAAGGCCTGATCTCTAAATATTTCCACATTCTGAGCTACTGGGGAGTTAGGACTACAACATGATTTTTTTGGGGAGGAGAGGGGGTGTGGATGGGACACAATTCAGCCTGTACATCTGTCTTATCTCTGTTTTCTTTAGATCTTTTTGTTTACCTGACCTCATGTATTTTCCTTGAGCGTCTTTGGCTGTCCTTGTATATTTTAGAGAGAAGCTGTGAACAGCTGATTGGTTTAGTTTGGTTTAGGCAAAGTCTGTAAGTGGCTTTTCTGTCAGGCAATAGTATCCTTTTTTGGGAGGACTCTTATGTGTCAGGATCTTTGGTTCTTTTTTTTCCTAGTGCTCTTCTATTTCTCTAGAGAATAATATTCTAGTTAGCAGGACAGGGTGGGTTTGGGATGGGGGTAGCTTACACACCTTGCTGACAGCAGTATAAGAGCAGGGTCAGGAAGAGGCCTAAGGAGCTCCACAGTTTGCTATGCAGGTTGACACTTAATCACCTCTATTTTACCTGGTGTTCTAGAGTACTGGACCTCTTCTTTTTGGTTTCTTCAGAGACTAAACTAATTTCCTGCCTGACTGCAAGATGAGGGCAGAGGCCCTCACTATCTTCTCATTATCTGCAGATACAGCTAACTAACAAGTTCTTTCTGTTTTGCTCTAAACTTCACCTTCATCTTCTGGGACATCTGGAGCCTTGAGCACTTGAATTCTTTAGGGAATTATTAATGAAGTTTTATTAGTTTTTGGTTGCCTACTATATGCTAGATACTGTGCTTTGCAAGAATTATCTCACGTGATCTTAATTGTAACTTTATGAAAGGTTTTACTAGCTCCTTTTCACACATACGAAATAAGAGGTTTGGAATGGAAATAGTAAATTGGAGCACCAGGACTTGAACAGAGATGTATTTGACTTCAGAAACTGGACTTTTACTAACTCTGCTATACTCAGAACAGTTAGCAAATTCACATTTCTGTCTGTATGTCTGCATTATAGGTTTTGTAAAAATGTCAATATATTGATTTGAACACATTAAAAAAGACTTACTTACTATTCTTGGAGGGGGAAAAATGGCGTAGATGATAGAGTCTCTGTTCATCCCTCTGGCAACCAAATCAAAGTTGTGACAGAAACAAGGAGCAAACAGCAAGGAAAATTGTCTGGGAGCTAGATGAACAAGCCACACAACTAGGGAGAAATCTAAGAAATTACCCTGCAACGGCAGAAGATAGGACTGGGCGAAGAGGCAGGGCTGCCTGGTCTCGAGCAGCTGAATGAGACCGAGTCTGTGGCCGTTGCAGATGCCTCTTAAAGGGGCTACGTCTACAAGCGGACTTCCGCAGTGCTGGATCTGCTTGCTCTGAGCACCAGTTTTGATTTGGCTGTGCAGGGACTTACAGGGTGACACTGAGTTGTTGGAGTGAAGGCCTTGGTGAGGTTCTCTACCCAGCAGAAGTGCCGGCCGTATCCATTGTCCCTCTGTTGAGCCCTAGTCCCTCCCAGTGCACAGACACAGCGCCCCCCCACAGCTGAGATTTTTATCAAACTGGACAACAGAGGTTGCTTCACCCAGAGGATTCCATGAAACTCCGTCTCCTCCAACTTGGGGCCCCACCCAAGCCACATCCAGGTATACCCTCAGCGAGTCAGGTGCTGCTTGCTGAGCAGCGCCAAGACTCACACTGGAAGCAGCTGGCCTTAGTTTCTGGCATGGCCTCTTGAGGCAACTATAAGCACAGCATCTGTGGATTGCTTGCTAAATCTTAAGAGGAGCTTTGCTTAGTACATAGAAACAGACACAGAAAGGTAGCCAAAATGGGAAGATAAAGAAGCAGGAACTGTATGAGAAAACAGAACAGGAATAATGGAGTCAAGCAATCTAACAGATGCAGAGTTCAAAACACTGGTTATAAAGATGCTCAATGAACTTAGAGGAAATGTAGAAGAATTCAGTGGAACTTTAACAAAGAGATAAAAAATATAAAAATGGAAATAGGACATTATAAAAGGGAACCAGTCAGAAATGAAGAACACATTATCTAAGATGAGAAGTATATTAAATGGAATAAACAAAGTGAATAAAGAAGATCAAATGACCTATCTAGAGGATGGGAAAGCCAAGGACACTAAATCAGAATGGCAAGAAAAGAAGCCAAAATTAAAATAATAATCTAAGGAGCCTATGGGACACTATTAAAAGTAAAAATATTTATGTCATCGGGGTGCTTGATGGAAAACAAGATGTTGAAGAGCTATTTGAAGAAATAATGATGGAAAACTTTCCTAACCTGGTGAAGGAAATAGACATAAAACCCCAGGAAGCTCAGAGAGTCCCAAAAGCCAGGAACCCAAAGAGGCCCACACCAAGACACATCATAATTGAAATTCCAAAGGTTAAATACAAAGAATCTTAAAAGCAGTAAGAGAAAAGCATAGTTACCCACAAGGAGCACCCATCAGACTGGCAGTTGATTTCTCAGAGGAAACTATTCATGACAGAAGGGCTTGGCACACAATATTCGATGTCATAAAAACCCAGCATCTACAACCAAGGATACTTTATTCTAAATGATAGCAAAGCTACAACCAAGATTACTCTATCCAGCAAAGCTATCATTTAGAGTTGAAAGACAGATAAAGAGCTTCCCAGACAAAAATAAGCTAAAGGAATTTATTATCACCAAGCCAGTATTACAGGAAATGTTAGAGGGACTGCTTTAAGTAGAAAAAAACGTGTCAAAAACAGGAATAAAGAATGGTAACAACTACATTCCCATCAACAAGTACCTCAAATGGAAAAGAAAGAAATGCTCCAACCAAAAAATAGAGTGACTGAATGGATGAGAAAACAAGATCCCTATGTACGCTGCCTACAAGAGACTCACTTCAGATTAAAAGATACACACAGACTGAAAGGAAGGGGATGGAAAAAGATATTGCCGTGGTGGTCCTAGAGGGTAATGTGTTGAATGAAATGGGTCGGATAAAGACAAATATCGCATTATTTCACGTATATTTAGAATGTAAAGAACAAAATCAACAACAACAAAAAAACGGAAATAAACTCATAGATACAGAGAATATTTTAAGGGATACTAGATGGGAGGGAGGTTGGGGGATGGGAAGAGGGCAAAAGGATTGAGAGGTGTTGGTGGATGATTGCAGAGTAGACATGGGGATATAGAGTATAGCGTGGGAAAGATGGTTAATAATGTTGGAATGAATATCGTAGGGAGGCAGGGGTGCTAGATTTGGTGGGGTGAGTGCTTTGCGAGTTGTGTGGATCTCTCATCAATATGCTGTACAGCTGAGGGTAGTGTGTTATATAGCAACAATAATTGAAAAAAACTCATTGAATTGTACAGTGTAAATGCAGGCAGCTAGCTGTATTTATATTTCAATAAAGACAGGAAAACAAAAAAAGATTATTCTAAATATAATACAAAAATAAAGTGAAATTCATTACACCTATGGGAATATAGATATAATTTAATTTTTATGAATACAATTAACCTTCCATAAACAATTTTGGGAGTAGAACAGATTCCAGCTTATATTTGGGATTCAGCAGGCGTAGGCATGGAGATAAATGATGATATTAGGTTCTGTCTGTCATGATATTGAAAGTTCCTAGAACCAAGGGTTTAGTTTTGTTATTTTTCTGATATTTCCTTTCCAGTACTATCTAGAGTGTAGTAAACTTAATGTTCAGTAGATTTTGGCAGACAGGCTAAATGACAGCTAAAAAAATTTAGGACTGGACATGGTTCCATAGTGTAGCCGTTAACACGTCTGCTTTACACACAGAAGGTCCTGGGTTTGCGTCCCAGTGGACCACGGTCCATGGTCTACAGCCATGCCCCCCTGAACAAGCCTGATGTCTGACTCAGAAGCTAAGCAGGGTCAGCCCTGGTTAGTACTTGGATAGGAGACCACCTAGGAAGACCAGGTGCTGTAGGCATATATTAAAAAAAAATTAGAACTATATGTTTAAGAATACTTTATATGTTTTGGTACTGACTGTCTAGCATTCTTATATTTTTAGTCACTGCTTAACTCAGCACTAATCCTTTTTTTCCTTTCTCTTTTAACAGATTATTTCTGTAACTGGATCTCTGATTTGCCCAACAAAGAACAATGTCTCGTTCACGACAACCCCCTCTTGTGACAGGCATCTCTCCAAATGAAGGAATACCATGGACCAAGGTCACAATTAGAGGAGAAAACCTGGGAACTGGCCCAACTGACCTCATAGGTAAGGGCAAGGACTATGCTATTTATCCATGGTAAATGCATTTTTATGTTGGTCAATCGAGGCAGGATATATTATTTTGAAATAATGAAGGTGATAGAAAAACATTATTGTGGTCTGTACAGAATGATCTGAACAAAAATGAAATAAATTTGGTTTTCTGACTTTTCTGTTAAAAATCATTATTTTATCAAATCTTTTTTTATATTGTTTTTCACTAAGTTCTCCAGAAAGTTTCTCACATCTGAGATTTGCTATCCTTTCCCAAGCTTTGATCTCTCCTATTAAATTGCCAAAACAGCCTCTACAAGTTATTTTTGCTCTCTTTAGTTTTTACTCCATTATACAACTATCTGTATTCTTTCTCAAGTGCTCTGTGAATTATGCCACTTCTGTTTCTTATTGCTCTTCAAATTAAATGTAAACTCCACCTCCTGGTGATGTCAGTACCACTTTGCTCTTTCTCTCACTGCACCTAAAAAGAGACTCTCTCCCAGTTGTGTAGCCTCACTATGACCTGCAGATCTCATTTCCTTTTTGCTGCCGTGTGAATGCGCCATCATGGTTGAGAGCACTGGCATTGATATGAAATACAAATAGTCTCTGTCTGCCATAAACAACCAAAAAAAATCTATTCAAATTCATTCTCACCCATGCTAATCTATCTTTTTATTTAGGTTCCCCTAATATTCAGAGCAAACTAAATTTTAGTTTTCTGGACCAGTTTATGTTTTTTAATTTTTTTAAGCTCAAGGACATGAATGATAGAATACTGTGCATCCAGTTGACACTGCATAAATATTTTTAGGTCTTGGTTTGCATACTGTTAAGCACTGATGTTTGTCAGTGGTTCTGACTCCTGGCTTGTCTTACTCTCTTCTAGAACCTAAAAAAAAAATGATCTGGCCCACCAAGTTTCACTCTCTAAAGATGGACTCTAATTATTTTATTATTATTATTTTTAATACAAATGAGTGTCAGATATAGCTAGGGAATAGAGCAAATTATAAATATAATCATATAGTCAGTTAAGATTATTTTCCTGTGAACTCTGTGTAAGGGTATTTAGACATATTAAGAATGAAGAAGAGAGAGACTCTAGTGAATATATATTCTGATTTTGCATATACATTTATCTGGATTCAGACATTCTCTTGACTCATTTCTTAATTTATAAGGGACCTTTTGTTAAATACTGGAGATTTTAAGTTGAAACTTGTTTTTCTTACGTTATAGCTGCTAATTGACACATTTTGGCCATACAGAAAACCCTTTGAAAAGAGAAAGTGAATTGAAACTCTGAGTTTTGCATTTTCCAGCTAATTCTTTTTGCTAGTATTATTTAAATTGTCTCCTTTATATTGTTTTCTCTAGCTATAGTTTTTTATTCTTTAGTAAATAAAACTTAGTTATTCTTAATGAAGATAGTTTTATCTAATGCTATTTCTTAGTTCTTGATATTGCTCATTTCCAGAATTTTCTTTATCCAAAGTGGAAAAAATCCCTGGAATGTATGGAAATTGACTGTACAGTTGGAGGTTATGTCTCACATTTTAACTGGCAGTCGTTGTGAGCTCCTAAACATGACAGTTACTAGTCATAAATTTGAATCTTGCTTTAGCTTCAGGCAATGCTATTCTTATTTGACTAAATGTATATTACTTTTGTAAACCTTGCTAGTTCATCTTTAAACCGGCCTATGTATTTCCAAGAAATTTTTTTAAAAAAGCAAATTTGACTTATTAAAAATAATTTAAGTGTTTTTAACTCAATTTAACTCAGATGATATCAATACTAGCCAAGTATAACACTACAAAAACACTTTATTTGGAATTCTACAAGTGACTTAAAAAAAGATGTTATATTTCATAAAGCAGATTTCTTAGCTTTCAGCAACTTAGCAAAAATGTGCTTAAGAAATTAAGAAATAGGTTTTATGATTTTAATTTTCATGACATTTAAAATGATCTTTTTGAATCTCTTTAAAATTATATGGTGATTATTCTTTTTTTAGTTAAAATGAAGAATAGATATTAAATCAGAGGAACATTGATAGCAGCTGTCACTAGATGAATAAACTATTGTTCTGGGTAGTTTTTTTCCCAACTTGTACCATTATGGATATCATTCTTGTTTGCTCACCTGAACATGTTTTTAAGACTTCATGTCTCTGTATCTGATATTTTTTCCTATTCCTCAGATTTAATCATAAGATAGTTCCCTAGTTTACATTAAACCTTGAAATTCGCTGTTGAGTTTTTCTCTTTTCTGAAGTGAGTTAACCTTTAAAACCACAAGAATCTTTTTGCTACTCTAAAATTTAAAAATATTAAGTTATATAGTAACCTGGAGTGATGTCAAAATATTTACCACCTATAACTGAGAAGTTTATAAATTAAAACATTTCATGTCGGAAACCAGCCGACCAAGTCAAACCAGGTCCCTGAATGGGGGAGCGGGGACTGAGAAAAAAGAGAAGACAGACAGGGTGCAGGAGGGAGAACAGATCTCACAACTGTCTCTCTGAGTTTATTTCTTATGCTCCTTTTTATACATAATCTGTATCCCAAGATAACATAATTAAAGTAACATCTTGAAGATCAAGGTACAATGGACACTTCCTTTGACACTCCCTTCGACACTCCCTGTTTCTATTCTTAATCTTCTTCCTGGAATTCCTCAGAACCAGCCTTTTCCCTTTTTTATGCAAGCAGGCCTCCCGAGATAATCCATGCACTCTTTTGAATTTTGGGAGCTTTAGCTCCCTACAATTTCACATTCATTTAAAAAATACACAGATTGATTTACGTATACATAAAAATTATTTGAGCCATTATGTCTTGAAGTGTTTCACAGTGCTTATCTTGGAAATGTAGAGGAGTTTCAGAGATCCTTTCAGTCTCTTAAATTGTTTAAATTTTTCATAACAAAAATTGATGTTTTTTTGATGGAAATCAAACACATTCCCATTTTGAAAAAAATAATTTTGAATTATGAATGCATTTAAAAATGTGTAAATGTCATTATGCATTTTAAAAAAAGAGGAAGCTTAGTTCTAAAGGAACCTTCAAGTCCTTTATTAGAAATACAAAGTTTCATATATGAATAAATAATAGATATTTTAGAGAAATCCCTAAAATTTATCATTTTAATAAATATGTCTTAAAAATGTAGTTGTTTTTATTCCTTTATAGTTAATATAAGATTCTTACTAAATAGTGCTTTAAGTTGTAACAAAAGATGACTTGAATTCCTCCCTACATTTTTTCAACCAAATTTGGTGTTAGTTGAGGTGTTCCTGAAAAAAAAAAAAATCACAATTACCAAACTTGACTGCCGAGCAGTATAAAAAATTATATAATGTGAAAGGAAAGTTTGAAGTGTCTCAGTCTTTGCCACATATATTTTGGTTTATTTTCTCCATAAATATTTATTATGTTGATCTCTGTTTTGTGGAAATGGAAAACAGAAAGGAAGTAAGAGAATAGGTTAGCTGACAATATGTTCACATGGTTGTATTTTGGTGTTCTGCCTGGGGTCACATTTTCATCATTACAGTCTTTTAATGCTTCCCTGTTTGGTTACTGCCTAAATTGTATATTAATGCTACAGTGAACACAGGGGTACATTTACATGGAATTGGGACCTGAAATGCCAGGCATAAGCTGACCTTTTGGGAGTGTCGGTTTATTGTCAGAGCATCATTAGGAAACACCAAGGCACCATGAACTGTCGTTTTGGAATGATAAACATATAAAAAATGAAATAGTAAACTAGTAATACCCCAAAACATTTACTGGATTTCCTATACTTCAGGCTATGCTTAAAATATTTTAGTTCATTCTGTTATACCATATATAGTTGAACAGTAGTAAAAGTACATGCAGATTATTTTCAGGAAGATAGATAAATATGTTTTTAGGGAATGACATATACATTTATTTACACTTTAGAATTTTATACCAATAACTTAGACTTCTAAAAATGGCAATAATTTCTCTTCTAACATCCACGAAAGCAATTTAAGATTCTCATAATCTAACAAATCTGCATTGCCTCCACATAATTATTATGCTCATTATTATCTAATTCCATGTACGTTTGAAGAAACTAAAATGTAATCTAAAAGAACTCTTAAATAGTAGAGAAAAACAGTAAGACAAAAATCAAGAGACAGTAGTATATTTATAAATAATATTGGGTATATTCAATAATAGAAATCACTTGAACAGGAAATATTATTTCTAGATTTATTTTTCAGTTCTTGAAAAGGATCTGGTAATAGTAGGAAGAGAAAGAAGAATCTTTTTCTCATGTAATAGAGATGAATAACTCATCATTATTCTTTTGAACTTTGTTATATGCATGCTTTTCTTTTCAGGTTTAACAATTTGTGGACATAATTGCCTTCTGACAGCAGAATGGATGTCTGCAAGTAAAATAGTATGTCGAGTGGGACAAGCCAAAAATGACAAAGGAGACATAATTGTCACAACCAAATCAGGTGGCAAAGGAACCTCAACAGTCTCTTTCAAGCTACTCAAACCTGAAAAAATAGGTATCACCTCTTATGATGCTATTCTGAAAAAAATAAAAATGGGTTTTGACTTTTAAAATTTAAAACTGGTAAATTAGTGTAAAATTTACCTATTATTATATATCATTAACTTAGATTCAGTTTATGTTTATTTTGACAGGAATGGGATATTGGTTAAAATGTGCATTATTTTTGAAAAGTCAGTTTGCTGAGCTAACAGTAAAACCTAAGGGTGATGATCCTGACAGAACTATCATTCTAAATTCTTCGTAAAATCTGTTCATTTAACATTTTGATATGACAATTTTACTTCCTTGCTCTTAAATACATTTCTTCTTGAATTGCATTTTTTTCTATTACATGGTTAAGATTTGAGGTCAAATATCTTCCTGATTTGGCCAAAGTAGCAATGTTATCTAAATAATATTCTTTTTTCTTTCATTTTCTTTATTGTTTCAGTTCTGGAGAAAATGTTGCCTGGCCTTTAGCCCTTCAAACTAGAAATAACCCTTCTTCTTTGTACCCCATAACACTTTATATGTGACTTTTTATGCACTTAACACCTGCTTCCTCATATTGCTGTAGTTAAGAACTTGCTTTGAGGAGCCAGACTCTGAATATTAACCCATTTCCAGTTTAGAAAAAAATTGCAGCTTGCTGCCAGTATTAATTTAATTTTACATAAATGTGCTCTTTGAAACTGAAGCAAATCTGAATGGTCTTCAGTGTGAAAATAAAATATAAAAACTGTTCTTGGAGTTATTTCTAAACAGAACTTGTCTTTAATCCTAATGTAACAGAAATGTATACATAAATTGGATTCATCAAATGAATCTTTGGCTAACAACTATTCTAGAACAATGTTAACATCACCGTAGGAATGCTGCGTTTTTTAGGATTTGACATTTTCAGTGATGGAGAATTACTATATTTTGTAAATGGAAATACCACTACTAAAAACAGAAAGCTATAAATAGAACAATGTCATTTGTTTCCAAAGACTATCGATATACTAGAGTGATGTGAAAATAATAAAAGCGAGATATTTCATGGCAAACTTTGAGAGTAAGGTTAGGACTGTAATCCGTTGAGTTATCTCAGGGTTAAAGCTGCAGCCCTTAGGGCCGCTGGTGAGTTTTCTTTGGGCAATTGGGAGGCAAAATCTGAACTCTAGCACTACTAACTGTGGAACTTATACCTAGTTTCTTTGTGGATGGATGTGGAATGATAGTATTGCCTACTTCATAGGATTAAATAAGTTAGAACATACATACATGTAATGTGCTTAGCATAGCCCCTTACATAAAATAAGTGCTCAATAGATTACTTTTTATTTTTTAACTTTCTTTTTTAAAAATTAAATTTATTGGGGTGTCACCAGTTAATAACATATTGAGTTTCAAGTAGACAGTTCTGTAATACATCATCTATATATTGCATAGTGTGCTCACCACCCAATGTCTAGTTTCCTCTGTCTCCATATATTTGACCCCCTTTACTCTCTTCAAACTCCCCCTATATGTCTTCCCTTCAGGTAACCATGTTGTTGTCTGTGTCTATGAGTTTTTTTGTTGTTGTTGCTTTCTGTTTTATATCCCACATATGAGTATAATCATATGGTTATTGTCTTTTTCCATCTGACAAGGTTACTCAAGATCCATTCATGTTGACACAAATAGCAATATTTCGTCATTTTTTTATGGCTGAATAGTATTATATATTTGTACCACCTCTTATTTATCTAGTCATTCATTGAAAGACACTTAGGTTGTTTCCATGTCTTGGCTGTTGAGATTAATGCTGCAATGGACATATGGGTACATATATCTTTATGTAATAAGTGTTTTCCAATTTGAAGGTACTCAGAGGCATTACTGGGCATATGATAATTATTCTTAATTTTTTGAGGAACCTCTATACTCTTTTCCATAGTGGCTATTCCAGTTTACATTTTCACCAGCAATTTACCAGGGTTCCCTTTATCTACATCCTCTCCATCATTTGATATTTCTTCTCTTATTAATAATAGTCATTTTAACAGTGTGAAGTGGTATCTTATGGTGGTTTTGATTTGCATTTCCCTTATAGCTAGTGATGTTGAGCGTCTTTTTGTATGTCTGTTGGCCATTTATATATTTCCTTGGGAAAAAATGGGTGCCTATTTTTTAAATTCAGTTGTTTGTTTTTGTTGTTGTTGAGTTATGTAAGTTCTTTACATATTTTGGATATTAGCCCCTTATTGGAGGTATTGTTTCTAAATATCTTCTCTCATTCTCTTGGTTGCTTCTTGTTTTGTTAATGGCTTCCATACTATTTTGTTTACTGTAGCTTTGTAGCATAATTTGAAGTTAGGGATAGTGATACCTCCAGCTTTGTTCTTTTTCTCAGGATTGCTATTGGCTATTCGGGGTCTTTTGTGATTCTATACAAATTTGAGGATTTTTTTGTTCTATATTTTTGAAAAACACCATTGGAATTTTATGGGGATTGCATTAAATCTATTTATTGCTTTGAGTAATATGATGATTCTTCCAATTAATACGCAATATCTTTTCATTTCACGTAGCTTTCGGTAGATAGGTCCTTCACATTTTTTGTTAAGTTTATTCCTAGGTATTTTATTCTTTTTGTTGCAGTTGCAAAAGGAATTATTTTTTAATTTCTTTCTCTGAAATTTCACTTTTAATATATAGGAATGTGGTAGATTTTTGTACATTGATTTTGTATTCAGCAACTTTACTGTATTTATTGTTTCTAATATTTTTTTTTGTGGAATCATTAGCGTTTTCTTTATAAAGAACTTTGTCATGTGCAAAAAGTGACAGTTTGACTTCTTCATTCCCAATTTGGATGCCTTTTATTTTTTTCTCTTACTTAATTGCTCTGGCCAGGATTTCCAGTATTATGTTAAATTTAATAGTGGTCAGAGTGAGCATCCTTGTCATGTTCCTAATTTTAGAGGAAAAGCTTTTAATTTTTCACCATTGAGTATTACATTAGCAGAGGGTTTGTCGTATATGGTCTTTATTATGTTGAGATACTTTCTTCTGCACTCATTTTATTGAGTGTTTTATTAATCATAAATGGACATTGTATCTTTTTAATGTATTGTTTTATACGATTTGCTAGCATTTTGTTTAGGATTTTTGCATCTATATAAATCAGAAATATTGGCCCACAGTTTTCTTTTTTTGTGTTTTTCTTGTCAGGTTTTGGTATCGGTAATTTTGGTGTCATAAAATGAGTTAGGAAGTATTGCCTCTTTCTCAGATTTTGAAGGTTTGAGAAGGACAGGCATTTAATCTTTGAATGTTTGATAGAACTCATTAGTGAAGTCATCTGGTCCTGGACTTTTACTTTTGGGGAGGTTTTTGATGACTGTTTTGATTTCCTTACTGTTGATCGTTCTATTTATATTTTCCAGTTCTTCATGATTCAGTCTAGGAGGGTTATATATTTTTATGAACTTATCCGTTTTGTTTAGATTATCAAATTTGGTGGCAGATTGCCTTTCATATTATTCTTGTATAGTCCTTTATATTTCTGGAGTAACTGTTGTAGCCTATCTTTCATTTCTGATTTTGTTTGAGTCTTTTTTTTCCTTAATGAGTCTAGCTAGAGTTTCATCAATTTTATTAACCTTTTGGAAGAACCAGCTTTCTGTTGCATTAAATGTTCTATTGTCTTTGCGCTATTTCATTTAATTCTGCTCTAATTTTTATTATTTTCTTCTTTCTACTCACTTTGGGCTTTGTTTTTTCTTCTTTTTCTAGTTCTTTAAGGTGAAATGTTAGGTTGTTTGAGATTTTTCTCATTTTTAGAGGTAGGCCATAATGCTCTAAACTTCCTTCCTATTATTGTTTTTGCTGTATGTCTAAAATTTTGATATGTAGTATTGTCATTCTCGTTTGTCTCTTTGTATCTTTTTATCTCTTCTTTGACCCAGTCATTATTTAATAGCATGTTCTTTAATCTCCACATGTATGTGGTTTTTCTTGCTTTTTTTTTTCTTCAGTTGATTTCCAAGTTAAAAGAGTTGTGGTTGGAGAATACGCTTGGTATGATTTCAGTCTTCTTAACTTTATTGAGCCTAGTTTTGTGCTCCTAAAGAGGGTCTATCTTTGAGAATGTTCCATGTGCACTAGAGAAGAATGTATAATCTGATGTTTTGGAATGAAAGGCTCTGTAAATGTTGATTATGTCCAAATGGTATAAGGATGTTACCTCCTTATTGATTTTTGTTTAGATGAGTTATCCATTTCTGACAATGGGGTATTTAGATTCCTTACTATGACTATGTTTTCATCAATTTTTTCCCTTTGGTTCTGTTAGTAGATGCTTTATATATTTTGGTGCTTCCAGTTTGGGTGCATATATATTGATGTGTTATATCTTCTTGATGGTTGTCCCCTTTATCATTAAAAAATGTCCGTCTTTGTCTCTTGTTACCTTTTTTAATTTTTTAAATCTATTTTCTCTGATTAAGCTATACCCACTTTTCTCTGAATTCCATCTGCTTGGAGTACATTTTACACCCTTTCACTTACAACTTTTTTGTTTTTGCAGCTGAGATATGTCTCCTGAAGACAGCATAAATTTGGATTTCTTTTTTTTTTTTTTTTTTTTTTTTTTGATCCATCTCACTACTCTATGCCTTTTAATTGGTGAGTTCATTCCATTTACATTTAGGGTAATTTTTGGTATATGAGGATTTCCTATAGTCATTTTATCTTTTGTTTTCTAGTAGCTCTGTGTCTCCATTGTTTCTTTTCTCTTGTGTTTCTGTCTGTTATTTTACTCTGTTAGTATTCTATGATTTTCTCTTCTGTTTTCTCTTTTTTTGTGTAATGTGTCCCAGTTCTAGATTTCTATTTTTGTGGTTGCCATTAGGTTCATACAAAAGAAAGCTTCATATATACAATAGTCTTTTATCTTCTGCTTGCATTTTATCTCCATTCTCCTGTGCAGGTTCAATTCTTTTCCCCCTTCCTCTTTTATGTTTTTGTTGTGCCAGATTATCCCTCTTTATGCTTTGTGTTCTTTTCCAAGTTGCAGTAGCTAGTCTCATTTTAAAAAAAATGTTTTTAACTCCTTGAACTTTTATGTTATATTTAAGTATTTAGTATTCTATTCTGAACAAGGGGTGCAATTTCCTGCTTTTGTCTGTTAGTCATCTTACTCATACTTTTTATTTTTTTGTGTATTTTTGTTTCAGTTATAATTGCAGCTTTCTACATTTCTTTAATGCAGGTTTTGTGGTGGTCGATTTTTTCATCTTCTGTATGTCTGGAAAAGCCTTAATTTTTCATTCATACCTAAACTATAGCTTTGCTGGATATTGTTCCTGACTGGTGGTTTTTCTCTTTTAATAATTTAAATGTTTGTTTCCCCTCTCTCTTAGTTTGTAGGGTGCTGCTGAAGAATCTGATAATCTAATGGGGTTTTCTTTATAGATTACTGTCAGCTTTTTCCTGGCTAACTTGAGCATTCTTTCTTTATAGTTAATTTTTGACAGTCTCAATATACTGTGCCTTAGAGAAGCCCATTTCTGTTAGCTTCTTTGATTTTATGATCCAGTTCTTTCCATAGTTTTGGGAATTTCTGATTATTTATTTGAGTAGGCTCTCTGTTTTCTTCTACTGCTCTACTCTTTCTAGTATACCCATTATTTTTGTATTGCTCTTTTTAATGGCCAGTAGTTCTCATAGAGTTCTTTACTTTTTTTTAAAATCTGAATTCTCTCTCTTCTTCCACTTGAGTCATTTTTAAATATCTATCTTCTATATTATTAATTCTTTCATTCATCTGCTCTGCTGTATTTCTTAATCTTATTAGTTTATTCTTCATATCCTTTATTGAGTTATTCAGATCCAGAATTTGTTTGGTTCTTTTTTTAGTTTCAGTCTCTTTGTTGAAGTACTCATTTTATTCTTTGATTTTGTTTCTGAGTTCATTGAATTGCTTTTCTAAGTTTTCTTATATCTTGTTGAGTATTTTCTAAACTGCAGTCTTGAGTTCTCTGACATTTAAATAACAGTCTTCCATGTCTTTAATTTTTTTTTTTTTTTTTTTTTTTTTTTGGAGATTTTTAATATTCTTCCGGAGTTCCCTGTTACCTTGGTTATTCATTTTGTCTGATGAATTATTCTCTACCAGGGCATTTGTGGGAATGAAAACTTTTTTTTTTTAAGTATTCGCCATTTCACTGTTTATAGGTTTGATAAGTAGAGGTCTTTCTTTCCCCTAGTAGGTGGCACTGAACCGTGTTTTTATTTTCTCTTACCTGCACTGCTTCTAGGATCTCTGTGGAGCAGTGTTGACTTGACTGTGGAATATGTTCTGTATTCTAGTGTGTTCTTGCTCTATGGATTGTGGAACAGTTTCACTTTTTGCACAGTTTTTCTGCCCCAAACCCTGGGCCTAGCCTCAGTGTGTGTTAGCCATCCAGGCCTGTTTGCTCTTTCTGCTGCTCTGGTTTGTCCAATGGGGTTGAACCCCACCCCTTCACTGCTATTAGGCTGTGGTCAGCGTGAAACCCTGGCTTCTGTCTCTGTCCTTACTTCCTGTCCCATTGCCTCTGTTCGCTAAGATATGCTCACCTTCACATGTCTCAATGCTGATGTCTCAGACCTGTTTTTGTGTTGGGCAGGGAATCCCTTGTTTAATTACAGCTGTTCAACCTGTTGTAACTTCAAAGGGTGAGACCTGGGGGTCTTCTCACAACTGCCATGCTGCTCAGCAATTATTTCTATTCTTCTCATGGCTAATTCTGTGCATGACCATGTCCCTTAGTAAAATAAGAATTAATGTCAGACTCATCTTTGTGATTCTATAATGTCTTGCACATTGTCAGTACTTGATTTTTTTTTATGATGTAGCAATATCGCAGGCATAATTACACCCAGACCCTGCTTCCCTCTTGTATTGAAAAGTAAATAATTGCAAATTGTTTTTGTTTTCTGTCTTGGAACATTGAGCTTTTCTGCAGCATTATCTTCCTTAAATTCCTAGATTTTTTTATAAATAAAAATGTAAAGAATTTAAGAGAAAATTATAAATGGAATTTATGTATATATACAATATCACTGTTTTTATTTACTCATTTTTATTTGATGTCTTAAAAAACTCAACTGTGAAATTAAATAAGGAAATCGTTTTCAATTTTCTGGAGGAACTTAAACCATTTTGACAGAATCCGGCATCATCTCATGTCATGTTTATACAGTAGATAAAGAAAGCTTATTTGAAATTATTAATTTTATTCTCCAACACCCTGCCTATGGCCTCCATAGCACAGTGTAGGGTCAGTAGTCTTATCTACCTGTACACAGGAGTATCTGGACTTGAGCATAAACTGACAGAACTTTCCATTGCATCCTGGAAGAAATGTGAGTGCTGGTAAAATTAGTGGGTTTCCAAAAGGTGATAGAAGTTGTCCGGCATCAAATACCCTTCTTCCATGAAGCCTTCCAGCTCCTAGCTCCTCCTCTTTCCTCACTGGCACTTTGCCCATTTTCTGTTGTAGCCCAGGTCCAAAAGTGGTAAACTGGTGAGTTCTGTGCCAAGGTGAATGACAGCGAGCTCCGTCACATGAAAGAGGGTACTATTTTCAGAGATCACATTTTGTTCATGGGGTCTACCCAGTTATTTTTACTGAGTTCTTGTTAGTTTTGTTACGCAAGCTATGCATTCCTTGGATGATGTTTGACTGATTTCTTTATATAAGGAATTGTTGGATATTTTGTTGAATTTACCAGATTAATTGTACTGTTTTTTTTTTTTTGTAAAATACAGTTGTTTTAGCAGAACTTTTTTTCAGAGGCTTAATGTATCTTCTCTATAAATAATGTACAGTGAAACCATGAACCAAGAGGTGTTATTTTTGTCTTTTTATAGCTTCTTAGTATTCTTAATTAAGCCACCAGACATAAAAAAATAAAAGAACCTTTGTAGTTTCAAATCTCTTAAAAATTACTGTACATTGCATTTTGTATTAGGTCCTTAAAAAGTAAAGCACTTTGCAAGACTTAGAAAGTATCGGAGGGTATCTGTATCTTATTAAGGGTGTGTTCCTTATTTTGGTAGGTATTTTGGACCAGTCTGCTGTGTGGGTTGATGAAATTAATTATTATGATATGCGTACTGACAGGAATAAAGGAATTTCTCCCTTGTCCCTACGTCCTGCTAATCCACTTGGGATAGAGATTGAAAAGTGAGTACCATGTTACCTTCAATTTTTTTAATTTTTACTCGCTAAAACTTTTATATATGTAGAGTGAACAGAGTCAAACTCCAGAAACATCTAGGGAAGCACAATTTAAGACGTCTCTATTGTTGGGAGACTAGTGTTATTTTTGAAGCCTGGTCAGCTTTGCTGCCAGTGAACGTTCCCATAAGTTAAAATTTTTGGCAAAAACTACTTACCTCTTTAGTTTTTTGAGTTTACATTTTGTCAAGAAGAAAATAATTTTGGAATTTTTAATAACTAGTACTTTAAAAAAATATAATTGACATATAATATTAGTTTCAGGCATATAACATACTGATTTGATATCTATATATCTTATGAAGTGATCATGACAAATCTAGTAACCTGTCACTGTACAAAGTTATTATGATATTATTCTCTATGTTCTCTATGCTGTATATTACATCCCTGTGACTTATTTTATAATGAAATTTGTACTTCTCAGTCCTATTACCTTTCTTGCACTTCTCCCTACTTCCTTCTGGTAACCATTAGCTTGTTTAAAATCCCTGTTTCTGTTTTGTTTTGCTTGTATGTTTGCTTTGTCCTTCAGATACCACATATAAGCAAAATCATAGGGTATTTGTTTTTCTCTGTCTGACTTATTTCACTTAGTATAATATTCTTTAGGTCCATCTATTTTGTCACAAGAGGAAAGGTTCATTCTTTTTTACATCTGAGTAATAGCCCATTGTATCTGTATACCATATCTTCTTTATTCATTCGTCAGTGGACACCTAGGTTGCTTCTATATATTGGCTGTTGTAAATAACGCTGCAGTGAACATAGGGATGCATAATACTGTTTTTCATAGTGGCTGCACCATATACAGTCCCACAACACTTGTTATTTGAATAACTAATACTTTTAAAGACATGAGAATTAATGCTTTATCTGGAGTTGGTAAGTTTAAATATTTAGATAGTACTTGAAATAAAAATAATGCTTTCCATGTACTTGATATTTTGGGAAAAAAATTAAATTAGGGCCAATGCAGTCTTTTATTTTGTTTAAAATTCTGCTTATAAGCCATACTTTATTCAGACTCATTATTATTTTTAAATCAGAATCGCGGCAGGTAAATATCTTTCAAGATGTCTTATAACAGTCTAGAATTTTTTAATCCCTAGAACTGTGTTTTAGTAATTTTTGTAATTAGTACCTTTATTCTTGTATTTTACATAATCAATTCATCTAACACCTAAATTGTGTCCTATTTTATGCCTTGGTGATTCTGCTTATTAGGTTATATACCGGGTGCTCCTCTATGAGCACTTACCGAAGGTGACAAATTAGTTCTATTAACACTTGAACCATAGCTTTATTTTAGATTTTTCTGTGAATGGAGAAAATTCTCTATTAATCTATGTAGTTTAACCCTCAAGCCTACACTTGAAGACTATTAGTAATTCTGGTAGCAAGCTTCTTTTTCACCTACTGGGTTTTACCCCTCGCTGAGAGAGAGGCGGCAAGTGTTTGTCTTGGGAAGTTATGTTGAAAACGTCCTGGGGCTTAGCAGCTTTTAGTGAGTTTGGAGTGTTCTAGGTTATATCTTTGGCAGCATAGGTCATTCTGGAGCTGTTTTAAGGTTTTTAGTGCTCTATAAATTAAGAGTTTAAAGATCAAGAAAGTCCAGAAAAGAGTATTTACTTGAGCACAGTTTCAAGTATGAATAGACTTTGCACTTGATTGTAAAGCTTTTAACAGCCTGCTTCAGTACTCTTGAAATCCAGCTTCTTTCTAAGATCTGGCACAAAAGCAGTGTAGAGCAGTTCCTTTATAAGGAAGAAACTGTTTCCGTACATGGGGACAATGATTATAAGAATATTGTGAATTTTTTACAAGCATTAGACAAAATTAATGTAGGGAGGAGACAAGAGAATTAAAATGTTAATCAAGCCACAATCAAAGACTGCAATATGCTGATCAGCCCTGTAGCCAGGCCAGGAGGACACCTTCAGAACAAAGGAAGATTTCTGCTGGAATTGCTAACAGCCTCTTCCCCACACCTGTGAAGGGGAAACTGGAATCAAGAATAGTTCTCTATGGCTAAAACCATGGGGAACTTATGGATAAAGGCTGAGAACTGCTAGCAGGCCTTTCACTCCACATGTTTTTACCTTTTCACGCTATATACTCTTCTCCTTCTTCATTGTATGTCTATATCAAAGGAAATGGGAACTAAAGAATGACATATAAACTGAATTTCCTGAACACTCAGGGTCCCTTTCAGTGTTTTTATTCTGTCTGTCTGTCTGTCTGTCTGTCTCTCTCTCTCTCTCTCACTGTCCTTCTCACTCTCTGCCTCTGAAAGGGGACCACACTCTGTCTGTGGAGTGTTATCCCTTTTCTAATAAACTTTCCTTTTGACTCCAGTTTTGGCATGTGTGTTGAATTCTTTCTATACTCAAAGGACCCTCTTCTCTTGGTAAAGGACTTGGTCTCCTTCCCCCTCAGGGAAATTTGCCCTGTCCTGCATCAAAACTATCAAAAATAGGATTAAATTGGATGTTTACTATCATGAAATGGATTCCCTTAAATTTTAGTTTGGCATATAATCCATCCCCTGTTAGATCTCTTTACTTTCTCATGTCCTCTCACCTTTTGCCTTTATTTTTTCTGTTATTGCTGCTGCCTACAAAGGAGTTTGGCTTGAATTCTAATAGCACTTTCTAAAAATGTGTTTCAGGATAATCCTTTGATAATGTTAGTAACAGCAGCCAGGAATAATGACACAAAAATTTCTTAGCTCTTTTAAAATTTTTCTTTTTTTCTCTGAGAAGTAATCTGATCTAGTCCGGGGATAAACTCTATCAGTTTGAATCATAGCTCTACCACTTACTGGCAGTATAACTTTGAACACATTAACTTCTGTTTGCCTTAGTTTGCTCAGGTGCAAAATGGAGTACCTGCTACATAGGGTGGTTGTGAGGATTCAGTGAGTGAATAAGTGCCTTCGAATGGTGTCTCGCTGAGAGCAAATGCTTAATAAACATTAGTCATTATTACTATGATTTTACGCTCTTCTTGTATATAAACTATTCATAGCTCTATCACTTAGCAAAAGAATCTCTTTTTTAATGACTATTAAGCTTTCAGGATAATAAATTGTATTAAAATTTTAAAGTAGTAGTATGTAAGTAATTCAAGGAGAGCTTAAACGGTGATAAAATTATAATAATATTTCTTTTGAAGTGTTACTTAAGTTTCAGTAATAATTTGTTCAGCCATGGGGTAATTAAAGAATAGATTTTGAAAAGGTAAAATCATGACTCTTACACATATATAAAATGAACATGTATGTTTCAGAGCTTTTATTAATGGGAAAACCAATAAAATGTTAAAATCGGTTCAAAAGGAATTCCATAGGAGAGGTATGAGTAGGCAATGAGGAATGCTAAAAGATGCAAAACAGGCTACTTCTACTGCATGGTAATCAATTGCATCTTTACCTGACAGGTGTTTCTATGCCCTGGTCAACATCAGCCTTCCACAAGTTAACTTTTGTTTCTATAACAGAGTTACAAAATAGAGACAAAGAAAGGCACAGATTCCTATATAATCAGAAAACACTGGGAAGCCCCTCCAAATAGTGAAAGGACACCCAATAACCTTTTTGCCCATTTAAAGTCTTTACAACTTTTCCAGTCAAAAGAAAGAGAGATACGAGGAAACAAGAAAATGAAGTGGAAAGAGGTATAGAAACCAAGAGAAGAGAATATTTTTGGCCAGAAAAATGGTCTTTCAGGTTCGTTTTTATTTTTTTAAAGATACTGTCAGTAAAAATGCATTTATTTTATTGAACTTTTATCTCAAATAGAGAAATCTTATTTTAGAAAAAGAAGAAAACTGGAAAGGAAAAGTAGATGTTAAAATAGTGGTGTGGGTTTTATTTACCTGACTCATTATTTCTTAGGTAAAAGCTTTAGTCCCCATAGAGAATGTTGTTACATTCAGAGTAGATTCCCTAAGAGCATTTCATAATTATCTGGCCTTTATTTCTGTTTATTGATATCATTTGGGTGTTTCTTTTATAATTAAAAGGCTAAAGAAGATCTGTTTCTAACATTTTAAAATGTCAGAGAAGGAATAACATGGTTTTATAATTACTTGTTGAAATATTTTAATTGAGAAGGTTTGAAGAATGATGATTGCTTGTTATAAAATACTGTAGTCCTGATGAATGATCAGGTTAAAGTGGTATGGCCACCTTTGGAAGATGAATCATCTCTTGGGAATTGTGAATGTTTATGGAAATTCTCTTTAGCTGACAGTCAAATGTACCATGTGAAACAGTTGGGGATCTTGTAGGTTGTGGCCAGTTCATCTGAATATGAAAAAGCAAGTGAGAACAACAATATAGTTTTCTTGTTACTCTTTGGTGTGAGTCAGAGTTCAATAAATATTTTATTGCTGTACATAGCATGCACTGTCCTCTTTCAGCCCACAAGTTTAACAACTGGCATTTATTGGCCTCCTTCCACTGCTAAAGTCCTTCATATTCCTAAATTTTTAACTGATATTTTGCAAACATGGTGCCACGATACTCATAAAAATGTTACTAATTGCTCAGAAAAAATAACTTTCATTTTGAACTGAGACTAGGATTTGCTTGTATAAAGTCTGTATTTCTGATTAATATATTCACAATATATGTCGTCTTTGCACAGCTTAAATTGTAATGGAGAAAAACTAAACTGAAAAAGAAGGTTAAAACAGGTTCATATTAAATAAAGCTTTCACTAGGTTTTATTTCTTAAAAATGATATTTGCCCAACAAAAAAATATTTAGAAGTAATGTTTTTGGAGATAGTTCATATTTGGGAATGAGGACATAAAATTGGAGCTTTGTCTCTGTTTTTATATGCTCTACAATTCTTTTTGTAAAATTATACCTGGGAATGTCTCTGTAGTCAGCTGATGCACTGCTAATACCTGTATTATTTCCACATAGGTTTTATGGG